ATGCGCGTCTACAGAGCAAGTTGAAAAATCTGAACTTCTGCGATCTGACGTGCCGTAATGGCCAATCAGCGTTGAGATTCTCTGGTGAAGTCAACAACACAACCTTTTTCTACTCAGATGTGTAAATTTTTGTATATATTTGTCTTATTATCCTGTTTTTTTTAAATTAATATTTATTGTATTTTGTTCTTTTCCTTCTGTAGTTATTTTACTTTATTTTATTTTTTTTAATTTTCCTATTTCTATTATTCATGCAAATTCCTAGGGCGACACCAACAGCCGAAACCAAATTCCTTGTATGTTGTGTATACGTACTTGGCCATTAAAGCTGATTCTGATTCTGATTCATTTTTTTTGCAACTACAGTGTGACTACTGATTGATTTACTCACCCCAGGAGATAAGCAGTTACATTACTGGCCAAGGCAGATCTCAGTGCTCAGCAGACGGGCTGTCCCACTCCTCCCGTTCACACACAAGAATGCTACTCTTCAACTGAACCAGCTAGCGAGCCGAGTTGCTCGGCATACACAGAGAAGCTTTAAAGTGTAGTTTTTTAGGCAGTCACATGTGAGACAGACTTATCCTAGTACCTTGTCACCTTTATTTTCTGTCTTTGTTTGTTTGTTTGTTTGTTTGTTGTTGTTGTTGTTGTTTTACCAGTTTGGAAGACAAAATGAGAATGGTACATTTAAAGAGGGAAACTTGTGACAGAACATGCTGTCTTAGAAATAAATGACAGAAGAGCTGGGCCAGAATTATCTTAAATGCTTAAATGAGGGAGATGGCTAAAAAAAAATACAAAAAAAATCTGTATCTATTCAGTAATTACAGTTCTGTTTGGTTTTTACAGCTGAAAGTCTATTGGGGAAAGAGAATATTGGTTTGCGAGAGCTTTTTAGCTGCAGGCCACCAATACAATCCAATATTAGACTGAGCCTCCAGTTTGTGTTCTTAGCTTCCACTTGCTAACTACTGCTTGTATATGCAGGTCAGACATCTCTGTTCTGATAAATAGTTCAACAAGCTCACTTTTTTGTGTAGCAGTAGCTCGATACTAAGACCTCAAATATTTAATTTCTCAGTAGGATGTTTTGTACTGGTGCTATTTTCCACTTCCACAAACAGTCACAAAACCAGGTTATTTCCCTCTGTTACTCAGGAAGCTGATTTATACACACAAATTAAAAACTATATTTAACTCAACTTAATAATATATTCTTAAAAATCAACTTGCTATATGCTACAATACTATCAATACTAACTGCCATTTCATGGAAAATCAGACCGTGTAACGTACAAGTAGTTGTAGTGTCGTCGTAAAAATAATGAAAATGAAAATAAAAAAATATTAGTGTTTTATGTTTCATAGCTGGTAGGAATGATCTGACAGTTTTACTGATGTGTATACAAACCTCATTAATGACAAGAACCCTTGAGCAAAGAGAGACAAATAAATTGATACAGTTGTTATGTGGAATCAAAACATCTGCTAATAATTGCATAGCAGGATCCAAGATGTGTTTTGAATATAGTTAGATTTTTAAAATCTGGAACTTTTCCTATATGTATCTCTAAAACTTGATGCAGGGTTTTGTTTTGAATTAATTTCTCTGTCTGAATCTCAAATTTGTTGTCTTTATTTTCTTCAGATTTACAACTTGAGTTTCTCACTCCCTCTCTGCGTCCTCTCTCCTCACCCCTCCAGTCACAGGTAAAGCATCTTATACAGCACTAGAACTAGCACTGTGTCAGCTATAGCAGTTGTAGATTAACAGTAAATGGAATGGCAATACAGGTTTTGAGCTGTGGAGTTTTGTTTACACTCACTCACATGTAGCAATAAACTGATAAAATGTACAGTTGTTATGTCCCTCCTCTGAACTCTGATTCACCTAGAACTGTGGTTAGGAACTCTCAGGCTGCTACAGAATTAAATGTTTGATTTTCTACTTGATCTTGCTGCCCTTTGCACTGTCTTATTGTGAATCTGGCCAGATATCTTCTAATATGCAGGCACATAGTGATCACAAGCAGCTGAGCTACACAGAGCAATGTGTTCCCACTTCTGGCCTGTACAGGATGTTTAAGGCAAAAGCACAGAACTGGACACCTTCCTTGCTAGAACACATAAGCCACTGAAGCATGTTGTGAGAACAAGAAACAACCCTGAAGCTTGTTATCAACCCAATGCTTATACATAGACTACATGTATAGTCTGCTTGAATGATCCTGTCAGTTGCAATGAGTACTCTTTGGCATCTTTGAATCTTAGAAAACCAACAGCAAAAACTATAGGAAAAAAAAAATCAATGAAACTATCAAACACATTTAAAAAGAAAAACTGTGGAAGTCACTGTGAATTCGCTGTCATTAACACAAGTATTTTCAAAGTGTTGGGATGCCATAAAATTAAGTGGCAGCTATGATCAGATGTGGGTACCAATGACAGCCAAAATGGTAGAAAAACAAAACAGTCAAAGTACAAATTCTGCCTTACAGTTGTCTTAAGTGCCTCAATACACTTGCCACACTGTAGTGGATATTCATGTCTGTCCAGATTGACCTTTGACTTTCTGTATACAAAACGTCATCATTGCATTATTTTTATTTGTGTGAAATTTTGTCATAATTAGTGAATGAATTATCGAGTGTGTTCTGTTAATGATATTTGACCTTTGTCCACCAATATCTAAGTCTATTCTAAGTCATGCACAAAAAACTGCAAGCTTTTTGGAAATCCAGGAAGTCCCTGAAAACAAATGCACTGCAGGGAAATAATCAATCATTCTGGGGTTAGACTTCACCCTCTCTATGTCTCTCTGGCACATATATGCTTATTTGTCTAATTGGTATGAGTGTGATGGTGTCAGAGACTCCCTGGGGTTCACACAAAGCAAGTGCTGGTAAATCCAAAACCAGACAATCACTATTTGAGCAGACTTCTTTAAAAGAACAGGTCCTCAGGTCTAGTTGATTAATTACTTAATCACCGGTTTAAACTTTATTACAAAACAAACTTCCATTAATTCAATCAGCCATTTTTGAGGTGCAAACAAGTCAGAACAAATAGCAGACCTTTTAACAGCAGGGTCACCACAGCACAGAAACACAGGTGCACTTAACAATGGCTCTGTATGTGTATGAACACCTCCATACAACTAGAGCTCGTACATTAAAATGGACTGCAGCCATTGCTAATATTTCATGTTTTAACTTCCCTCTTGCTACCACATGTAAACATATCATGTCATGACATGGATATCAATTGAGCAGTATGCTGCCACCCATTTCAAAGAAGAGATTTGATCAGATTCTCAAGGTTTTCTTGAGGCTTATGACCCACATGCAGAGAAAACTCTGAGGAGCAATGAAGTGTGAAAAATTATTTTATTACAGCTGTAGAAAAGTGCAAAGATGAGGTTGATCCGGGCTGGGACATCGACGTGGGTTTGTGGACGGCTGGGGCGGACAGGTCGTACAGTGGTCAATGCAGTGGAGTGATAGAGAAGCAGGAGCGTTACCAGTCGTGACCATATGATCCAGGAAGCAACTCGGATCTGGCGCAGGTTCCAAGGGAACCACATGCGAGGAGCGGGTACACTGGAAAAACCTTCAGAGAAGACGAGAAACAATTATTCAGAGGCTCAGGAAGAAGCACGAGAGCAGCCAGTTCCTTGTATCCAAGGAGGAACGAGCCTGATGGATCGCATTAGTGTGAAAAACACACCTTCAGTGAATGAGCCCCAGCACAGCAGGGGTTCTCCAGGACGCCCTCTGGTGGAAACCTGCAGGAGATGGATCACAAACAACACAGCCCAAAACCCCATTTCCTGACACAGATAGAATTTATAGAAACACTTGGGTGCGTATGTGGGACCCTTGATTTCCTCTGCAAATAACTGCGGAAACCGTTTGCCTCTAATTGTACGGATGTGGCTCACTGGAATGAGCCTGTCAAGCAGTTTACCTGAAACACTAAAAGCTCATGACAAACTGACAACAAATTGGATGCATAAGGAAGGTTTTTTTCAGAGAGATAATTTGCCAACTTTGTACCAAAAAGAGCAAAACAAGCAAAGTGCTTGACAATCTGACTAAAGTACTCCTATAATGTGTGCCTATTGAATTCTAGTTGACTGATTATCGGTGTGGGGGAACAGGACCCTGCAGCCCCTCCTCCACTTCAAAATAATACACAGAAGCTCAAATTACAGCAGCCTGGAGGGAAAACGGTCTCACCTGAACCCTGTCTTACCACAATTACTGGACTGCTACCTAAGGGCAGCCTAAGCCTGTTGTTGGAATTTTAACTTGTATCTGTGGCAAAGTTCAGAGGTTTAATAATGTCCAAAATCACAAATATGTACTTTATAAACTATGATATTAACAACAGAATGAATTTGTATGAATTAAGTAGCCAGTGCATATTTCATATGAAGTGGATAGTTTCGCTACACCTTGATGAGAACATTATTATTGTTGTTGTTGTTATTGTTATTATTACTATTATTATTGTTGTTGATATTATAATAGTAGTAGTAGTAGTAGTGGTGGTGGTATAGTAGTTTATATTATAGTAGTAGTAGTAGTAGTAGTTGTAGTTTCAGGCCACAGATATTTGCAGTATCAAACTGATGGAGTTTAGGAGGACACGTTTCGGCTTGAGGAAAATGCATCATGGCAACATTTCTATTTTTTAGCCGATAGCTTTATTTAAAAAAAACAACAACAAAAAAACAAAAAAAAAACAAGAGAGAAAAGTACACGGCTTATCAAGAAAGTAACATGTAAATCACGTTATTTTTCTGCTAGATGCCTGGAACCTGACGCACCTTTGCACCAGTCTACCTGAGACAAGGTGAGGATTTCAGTGGCGGGTGTCGCGCATGCGCCTGGCCTCCTCCGATCATCAGGAGGATATTATAAGGACAGCCCGGGGAGCGGCAACTGGTTCAGTCAACGAGATCTGGACTGGACCGAGGCGGACTGGAAGCGCATTTGCAAGGCGGATGAGATGGAGGACAAAGAGAGAAAGAAGAAGGATGAAAAGTCCTCCAAGAGCGACAGAGTCACCCTGAAAAAAGAAATTGGACTTCTGAGCGCTTGCGCTATTATCATCGGTGAGTGTGACAGCTTTTGTCCTAAATGGTGTGTTCATGAAGAGCCGGTCCATGCGGTGAATTCTGCCACTAAGAAAAGTTGACAAGGAAACGCGTTTGAGTGTGCGGCGGTGTCATTGTAAGGGACTGGTCGCTGCTGTGTTGTCAAAGTTAGAATCTCATCACAGACCAGCAGCCGGCCACAGCAGTTGTTGTTCGAGTGCTGGTCTACTGTCTGGACACTGTAGGGGTATGAGTGTGACTTTTCTGTCAGAAATGATGTAACTGTCACACTGTGGCACAAAACCGCCAAAATACGCACTGAAATGTCGCTTTTACGCACGGACGCTCGGCTGTGTGGTTCTAGTTCGGACTGCAGGGTTCTAAGCTTTGTGTTGCATCAGTCGGGGTGATCTGAATATGGACATGCCGACGTGGCTGGATAGCAGTGATCTTCTCATGCTGAACTTGAAAAGCGCGCAGACAAAGCACAGCCACCATGTGGTTGTGCGGAGCAGTTTAGCACTAACAGTGGAACAGTGCCGGGCTGACGGCTCATTGTCCACCGGGTAAAGCAGAGCATTAACGATCATTTCATAATAAGTTTCCTTTTGTCCTGTCTGAACCCGCCCATACTACAATGCACTCGTACTGTAACACGGAAAATGTACGTTAGAGATGCAGCCATAAATGAGTGACTGTTATAATAGAGGAAGCCCCGCTGTTACTGACAGTTTCCTGTACTTTACATGCATCCCTGCACTCTGTTCCACAGAGACAAGCTCACGTGGAGTAGTAGGCTGGTTATGCAGTGCGGTCTTTACAATATTATAATATAACAGTAACGCAGGGACTCCCCAGGGAGCCAGCTGCTGCTGATAAGCAGCCTCCACAAGTGGTCTCTGTTTTGTAGAGACACGTGGAGGACACGGTGGTGAACGTAATGAAATATCCTAAATGCTGCCCCGTAGATATTCCTGTCTGTTCTTGGATTTTCTTAAAATTTATTACGGATATTTTAACACTACTTTTTGATTGTGCACTATGGATCGCTAATTAAAGGGCATAGAAACTGCTGTTTACAACTAAATTAATTAAAAAATAAATAAATCTGGCTAGTGACTTGAAATGTACAGCAGATCTGCATACACTTTTAATAATATAAATCCATAACATTCAGAAAGTATGTATTGACCTGAATTATTGCATGGTGATACAGAATTTGGATGAATGACGAGAGATAATGCTGCACTCCTGTCACTTCTTCAAAAGAAGTTACAGCTTAAGGTCACTTCAAAACAGGAACTGATATTTTTGGTTTTTCACCAGTCACTAATCAGCCTCCTATATATGTGACTCACCCATGTGTGGTTATATACAAGAGGGAAAGCAAAATCACAACATAGGCTTAAACTAAATATCTTTGGTGGAAGCTGCATATGGGATGATGGGAATGTTCCAGTAAAAACATACAATACTCCTATGACGTCCAAAAGATCCAAATGTAGATCTGTAATTTGGAGATCAAACAGCAGAGCAAGATTAGATCTCCACTAGAGAAAGCCCTAGCAAACAAGTGGGAAGACTCCTCCCCGTAAAGAGGATGGCAGAACAAAGAAAGTAGTTTTTATGTTGCTGATTACCTCTTGTATCTGCAGCTCACAGATCCACAGGTTTTGAACTACGTTTATGTTGACAGATATGCAAATTGATTGAAATTTTATTTCACTGAGCACAAACACAGTCCTGCAAGAGTGAACAGAGAACAATAGAGGCAATTCTGTCATTAGGACAAATGACAAACATCTTTTGCTTGACATCTCAGTGAAAGGTGAAATATGAGGCACAATCTCTGACATTCAAAGAGTTACAAAGGGAAAAGCAAACAGTGTGGCACTTGCACTCATAATGTTTTTAGTGGAACAGCTTATCTGATAAGTTAAAGTCACATTTATTGTGCTTTGATAGAAACTCATATCATATTTTTGCCTGCCCATTTAACAGAATTTAGCAAGCAGTGGGTGTACCAATCAACTGCCAAAGTCTCAAAATAACCAGCTGGTCTGATTAGAGCTTACTGTATGTTGCAGGGCTTTAAGGCACATATCTTTAGTCTAATTTAAAATTGCTAGTTAGAAGTGAATCACTCAGGTTTATGCCAAATTTTTGCCAAGTCACAAACATGTGACACATACGAAAGCGCAGATGGAGTGAACATGCACAGTTAGTGTGCACTGGCAACTTGAGTCATGCTACTTCCCACCCACCAGCCTCCTCACATGCCCAGTGCTTTCACTCTAGTGATCTGGAGTGCTGCTGTCAGTGTATATGACTGTTTCTTCACTGCATGCAACACTACTACTACTACTGCTTGCATTTAGGGCTAAACAGCAAGAAAATATATCAGATGACAAACAATATTAATCTCTCACCATGCTGACTGTACTTTTACCTGTTACTTTTATTTGTAAAAAATGGCAGCAACCACCATTCCCACATGTTTCCTGCTCCATTTCCACTCTAGCAGCCACCTGCAGATTTTTTGCCTTTGTGGGAAAAGCGCTATTATCACTCCCTGTTTCCTCCTTGTTAATACTGGCAGGATAAGCTCTGATCCATGAGGTGGAAATAAACCCCACAAAAAAACAAAACAAAAACATGCATTGCATCTACAACAGCAAAAACATTCTCACAAACTGCATGATTGAAATAAGAGTGATTTTGTTGCAGTTTCACACAACAGGGTGGTGAAGGATTCCTCTGATAAAATAGTGATTCATCTGAGCAGTTGTTTCAAGAGAATATCTCAGCTCTGGTGCAGGAGGCTGAGAGGGTCAGTAGGACTCTGATTCCTTCTTTCAGCTGCAATGCCAAACTTTATGACATAACAAGCACAACACAGGCATTATGTAACCGCTCTGCATCTCACCACGGCCTCCACGATCACATCAGACAGTGATAAATGCATTCCTCGGACTACATCATTAGACAGCACTCCGAACCGCGGTGTGCCTCGCTGGCTTTTAACAACTAAAATGTTTACAGTTAACATTTTTTTTTGTACGGACTTTCTTCTCAAACTTTTTCAAAGATGAGGAAAACATGGAGAACAGTGCAAAACATGTTCTGCTTGGACAGCTGCTGTTTGGTTTCTTAGTTGTGTGTTAGTTTTTGTTTTGGTAGGGGTAAGGACATATGAATGCCAGGCTGGATTTGAACTCTTGACACAGTGGCTTATTACTATGTGCCTTGTCCAACTGAGCCACCACGCAGCCGATGCTTGTCCCTGTTTGGAGGTCAGCTAAGCCAGAATCTTAGTGAGTCATGTTTCTACCATGACATAAGACCAAATTAGACTGTTATGACTCTTTTGTACCTGAGTGTGTACATATCTTTCTGTTTGTCCAGCCACAAGTCAAGCATAGAGCAACAGCATAAATAATGCTGCTGCCCATGTAAAGCGATTCTGGCTTCTGCTGCAGCTAATAGGGAAAACTATTGTTGACATGTGAAAACTAAGTTAAAATTCTGTCCTTGTCTCTGTGACTTTATGTTGAAGTTACGGTCTTATGCTACATAGCGATGGTGGTGTCGTGGCGAGCATAGCTGCCATCTACGCAGTTGACCTGGATTTGATTTCCAGCCACTGCAAGACAGTTTTCTCCACAGATTTCCCCCATGTGGGAATGATAAAATCTTATTTAACCCAAGTATAAAATAATGTCTTGGTAAAGAATTTTATTCAGCAGATCAGGAGTGATGATTCTAATATTCATCCAATGATCTGAAAAAAGAAACAGAAAAATGATTTCACAGTAACTCGTGTACTTGCTTTAAGACAACACTTTTCTTGGAGTCAAGAAAGTTTAAACGTGCTGAGACAAGGTCATGTGCTGCACACTCAAATGACGACTATATTGACAAAACGTGTTGTTTGTCATTTCAAAGAGAAGGGAAAAAGAGAGTTTGAGCAAGTTTCCCCTCTCAGTGTAAAAGCTTGGGCATACTATTGTTCTCTCAACCTACATTTTTTTTCAATCCTTCCACTTCACATCTGTATCGTCCAAATTCACCAAAAAGTTGCAACAGCTGCTGCAGGAGCTTTGACCACTGGCCCTTTTGTTTATCTGGGTTCAATGCCGATTCTAGTGATGCATTCATTTGTTGTCATTGAAAGTGATCAAATTGACCAAAAACAGTTCCACAGATACATAGATGTTTTTTTTGTCTTTATATTTCATAGATGCTGTTTTTTCTTTGTCCAAGCACATTTTATTTCAACCCTTTGAGGTTGATGGTGTCAAAAAAAAAATCATCAATGGCTATCTGAATGATGTACAGCTGTGGCCGAAAGTTTGGACAATGACCAGCTAACATCCTTTCAGTGATGCGAGCGAGGCTGGAGATCAATCTGTCATGCTGATTGAGTTAGAATAACAGGCTGGATGCTTTAAAAGGAGGATGGTGCTTGACATCATTGTTCCTCTTCTGTTAACCATGGTTACCTGCAAGGAAACGTGCAGTTATCATTGCGTTGCACAAAAAGGGCTTAACAGGAAAGGATATTGCAGCTAGTAAGCTTGCACCTTAGTCAGCCATCTATCGGATCATCAAAAACTTCAAGGAGAGAGGTTCAATTGTTACAAAAAAGGCTCCAGGGCACCCAAGAAAGTCCAGCAAGCACCAGGACCGTCTCCTAAAGTTGATTCAGCTGCGGGATCGGGCCAACACCAGTTCAGAGCTTGCTCAGGAATGGCAGCAGGCAGGTGTGAGTGCATCTGCACGCACAGTGAGGCGAAGACTTTGAAGGAAGGCCTGGTGTCAAGAAGAGCAGCAAAGAAGCCACTTCTCTCAAAAAAAAAAACCCATCAGGGACAGGGATTGGACTGCTGAGGACTGGGGTAAAGTCATTTTCTCTGATGAATCCCCTTTCTGATTGTTTGGGGCATCTGGAAAAAAGCTTGTTTGGAGAAGACAAGGGAAGCGCTACCATCAGTCCTGTGTCACGCCAACAGTAAAGCATTCTGAGACCATTCATGTGTGGGGTTACTTCTCAGTCAAGAGAGTGGGCTCACTCACAATTTCGCCTAAAAACACAGCCATGAATAAAGAATGGTACCAGACAGGGATGGACAAACAAAAGCCCACAAATTCTCACAAACTCCAAACACTGATTATGCAGATTCAGTATACCATAGAAACATCTGACAAAAACACCTGAAACCCCCAAAGCAGCAGACTCTGTGAAAATTTTATATTTAGGTCATTCTCAAAACTTTTGGCCAAGACTGTTGAGGCTGGACAAGAGTCATAAAACAAACACAGATTATTAAAATATGATGATCACACCTAGACTTGAACCCAAACATCTGGATTTCAAATGAATCAATTCAAATTTTTAATTCTAGTGTGTCAGTTTTTTGTGTAACAGTAGTTGTTTTACATTGACATACTTTGTGCTCTTAGAATACTCTAGTTAATTATTGAAACATTAAGTGTAAATAACCACTGTACTTTTTCCTCCTAAGGGAATATCATCGGTTCTGGGATATTCATCTCACCTAAAGGAGTGTTGGAGCATGCAGGTTCAGTGGGGCTGTCACTCATTGTGTGGGTTTGTGGAGGAGGGATCTGTGCCCTTGGGTCCCTGTGCTATGCTGAACTGGGTGTCACCATCCCAAAGTCTGGAGGAGACTATTCATATGTGACAGAAATCTTTGGAGGTCTTGTGGGGTAAGTACTGTTTTATTTTTTTCAGTTACACCACTTTTTAATACCACAGTGCATAAAGAACAGGATGTTATTTGTGGCCTTTGAGTTGTACTTACTTGGTATGGATTATGCTCTAACAGTGCAGGGTCGGTTTAATAGGACTGCCCGCCTGAAACCAATCAGCTCTGAAGGTCTTGTGACTTTCCCTTGGTCATATGAGAGGTCAGCTGATCATAGAGCAGCACTGTAAGTTTGAGAAGGTCAAATGTTTCCTGCACTATACACTCTTGTAGACGCACTATATAATATTTCCTACGTGGCTTATATGCAAGTGTGAAACAAATTAAAGAAAAAATACCACAAATGAAGAAATATGTGTAGCAGCAAATGAAGAAAAGAAACTAAGCAGAAAGTAAGAAAGTTCTGTATTACTTGATTTAAAGCTCAACGCTGTGCCGACTCTTCAGCCAATATTCTGTCATTCAGTCATATGTCGCGCTTACAGTGATGTTCCGCATGACTTCCGTCAGACAGAACAGAGATTGGACAGAACATCAAGTGATTTATTACACATGATACAGTAATAAACAAAAGATTAAATCTAAACTAATCAGAAGGTTATCAACCTATTCAGATAACTAATAACCACGTTTCTATATGACTTCCTGAATGAACAAAAATATGTCCATGTGTGATGATAGTCTAACTATTACTTAACCAACAGTGAAATCAAAAACAATTATGGTGGTGCTCTGGACTCATTCTGAGAATGGCTACTATGTAACGGATGATTTAACTATAGCTTATAGACCGTGTGACAGCTCACCTGTTTGATATGAAAAAAAGTACACAGTGTGACTTGTTGGACCCTGATCGATCCTTTCTCCATATCAGGGATAACTTATGATTATAAGTACTTAATTTAGTGCTGCTACATATGCGTAAATCGGCATAACTCTCTCTCTTTGAAGACGTTCATGTGGATCCTGCTGCTGTTTCATGCTGCAGCTATTAAACTCAGAGTAAAGACTCCTACAAAAAGGTGAAAACAACAAACTAAATTTTATCTCCTGGTAATGTTTTGTCATAACCTGGATTACATTCATTATTGGTAAATCTTTTTAATGTGTTCTATTCTTCCCTGTTTTCATTGTAGTAAAGTCTTATTTTTATGGAGATTTCAGTTTGTCATATATGAGATATTTTTAGGCCAAAGTGAGTAAAACAGGTGTTTTGTGATTTTGTCAGCAAACTAGGTCTTTTGTGTTATTGGATCAATATTTGTGCTGAAATGTGGAAAAAGCCTTCCCCAAATCACTTGACACAACTACATACCACAGTACATCACTTGTGCATGTCTGTCTGGTAATGTGACTGCATGCAGTTCAGACCTGTGCTTGTGCACTTTTAGGGAAAGTGCTTGGTGTGGTCATTCAGACATGAAGCTGTCAGATTACCAGAAAGGAGCGCCTGACAGAAAGGGGCGGAAGAAATGGGTTTCCATCCAACTAGTTTTGTGTGGATTGCAATGATTTAAATCAGAACAAAGATTTGAACAAAATAGATTCTTTTCAGCAATGAAAGTATATTTTTCACCATTATGAACAATAATTGTACAGTTGAATTGAAACACAGATGCTATAGGGTATAAGTAATCATGTCACAAGAGTCACTCACTCTTTTTTGTGGCAGAAGATCTTTAAGTCAGTGAATTAAACTGTTACCAAACTGTTGACCTCAAAACACCATAAAATCTGGCTTGCATTGGCTCAAACAAATGAATAATCATGTCAAGATGTCCTTAAATAAGCTTTCAAACCCAACTGCTACACTGGAGCTGCACAGGAAACTGTGTCTGTCTGAAACTGGCAGTTTCACTGTGAATTTGAATCTGAAGTCATGGTGGAGCTGAAAGAGAGCAGCAAGAGGAGCTGCCCTCTCAGAACCGCTGCCTGCACACAACAGCCTGTCAGAGCAAATTCTTTGCATAAAACTGAAAAGTTTAAAAGAAATGTCATAAAAATCTTGTATCAGACCTTGTTCTCTCTCTTGTCCTGTAGGTTCCTGTTGTTATGGAGCGCTGTCCTCATCATGTATCCAACCACGCTGGCTGTCATTGCACTCACCTTCTCCAATTACGTCTTGCAGCCGGCCTTTCAGGACTGCCTGCCTCCATACATCGCCACCAGACTCCTTGCCACCATCTGTATCTGTGAGTCAACAGCTCAAAGTACTCTGAAATTCCATTTAGTCTGGATGAGTTTTACTTAAAATTCATGAATTTGATGATGTTTTCAAACTACTTTTCAGATCATCTGTCAATTAATGTTTTCGGAGCTCTTGAGTTGTTTTTCTCTTGTCTTCTATGGCTGGGTTCAGCCAAGGTAACTAGTACAGTTGAACCTAAACAAATGAAGTCTGGCACAGTGGAGGACTGTTTATGGAAAAATGTTCAAGGAGACACTTGATGCTTCTTTTCATTAGATTTAGAGTCAGATGCCGCAAAGTAATTTTTAGAGTAGAAAACCTTGGCAGGATTCCCTCCTTGTGGAGGTTTCTGAAAGTCAGGTAGGCAACTTGTGACTCAGCACCAGGTCAGTGTTCACTTTAAACTCACTTCAGATATTTCATTTTCATTGTTGCATTTTCTTAAAATCTGTGAGAGAAGGAGAGCTGTGCAATGCACACAGTTAGTAATTTAACATAGCAGCTGGGACTGTCCAACCTTTCACCTGAGAAACGCAGCATTGAAACAACAATCAGAATCAGAATTAGAAACACAAAAACGGGCAGCGTTTGCATGTCCAGTGTCGTCGTGGTTAGTTGATCCTACTGTACTATAACTACTGTGTTACTTGGCAGGGAGCAGCACAACAAACAGTTTCAAAGTTTGTTTGTGGTGACTGACTATTGATGTTCAGTGACTGACAGATTCTCTCTTCAGCTTTTACAAACTGACAAGCTGCTTATTCCTGGAATGCTGGACAGACCTAAGTTCAAGTTAGTCAGCTAGTTAGTTCAAGGAAGTTTGCAGAAACAAATATTGAGTTGTTGATGGACTTGTTGATAGTCTGTCTTGCTGCTGTTTCCCCAGTACCTCTGTCATTGTGACACCCTGGTTCCCAGTGTGACACTTCAGACCCTGTGCTGCTTTAGATATTCAGGTCATCTGACTGTATGAACTAGAGTTGCTCCTAGTGAGGTAATCACCACAACAGGCGTCCGTTCCTTGGTCAACATTATAAGAAACTGATGTTAGAATCAAGGCAAAAGTTCAGAGCCCAGATACAGTTGATTAAAAAGTACTGACTGAACATTAGCCTATCAGGAAAAGTTTATTTAGTTAGTTAGTTATAATAGTTTATGCCATTAGAACCTTGTAACTGCACAAAATACATTTTTGAGTTGTCTTTACTTGTCGCCATGGATGTGTTGTTTCCACAGAGATACAGGACTTTATATTGCAGTGAAACATGAGTCCACAGTGAGTAAAAATGTGACTGGAACAACAAATGCAGACAAACTGCTTTGGTTTCAGACCTAAATGACCTCATAAACAAGTGCTTCGGAAAACAACAACAAAAAAGACAAAGCAAAAGTAGTCTCTGTCTACACAAATCAGTCCATCCAGCAGAATGAACCTGGGCACCATATTTGAAGTAAGCAGCTAACAGGTGGGAAGAGTGCAAAGCAAGGAAAACACTACAAAACTACAGAGGTTAGCTCAAACTAAGCAAACCAAATCCTGTTACTTATGTCTCATGGCCTAAAGTTATCATATACTGTGACAGTTCACAGTGTGCTGATGGCCGTCATTGTCATTTGATAATTCCTTATGAAATGCTGTGCTCTATTTTCAGCCTCTAATCTGATCAGCGCCTTTGCTTGAAATGTTGGAGTAGAGCAATCTGTATTTAAATAGCCAGTGGCAAAAGCAGACCGTGCATGTATCTGGTTGACAAGCCAGCCGGTTTAGTCTTGTCTGAACCGGATGGAGAAGGAAAACGGGGGGTTCGACTGGAGTGGGCTGGGTATCTATGCATTAGAGCATGTGCACATGTCAGACTATGGTTAGCATTTACAGAGTACACTGATGAACGTCCACTATTTTTGGCAACAGAATGCTATAACTGCTGCCTAGTTAGGGCAAGGGCCCACTCTGTGTGAGTGTGTTTTTGTGTTGTACTCTTGAGTGCGGTACGAGCTTGTGTGTGTGCACACGTGTGCGTGTGTTAGGATCAGTGTCAGACTACATAATGGTGCCAGCCTTTGTGGACGCCGCTAATGAGAGGGTGTGTCTATACTATTGTGCATTGTTTGATGCTCCTGTCACTGAGCACCATGGAAACAGGAAATGGGCAGGATACCTTGCACATCAGTGATGGGGGATCCCATTGGCCAGCTGACATTCGGGTGGGATGTTTGATGTTCCTATTGGCTGCTTAGTACCGCCCCTGTCCTCCACTCGATCTGTCCTTCACTCGATGGCATCGCTCTGCAGACCGAAAGTCATAGAGTCTTTGCATTCATCTATGTGTGATCAGCGGCAAAAAAAGCTTCACATTTCATGTCTGAAACTTTGTCAGCAACTTGTGAGCAGGTAAAGTGTCAGGTTCTACACCACCCTGATCACAGATGGACAAAATATTAATCTGAACCTGATGAGAAACTTCACTAAACAGTTTGTGTCCCCCACTGTAGCTCCATCACTCTTAAACACTATATAAATAAGACATGTCATGTCAGGGGGTTTAAAAAACTGGTGATCAATATGAAAGGATCAGCAGAGAAGAAGCTGAATTATACACGCTGTCAGGAAGAAACAAACATTTCCAGCAGTTTGTGACCCTGTTTTTAAAACACACACTCTGAGATTTACTGGATTATTTTGTTCTGCACTGCTGAGTCTTAGTGTGTCTGCTCTTAAGTCAACTGAACTTTTCTTAGTTAAGTGTTTATGAATGTGAGTCAGCCTAGATATGTGTTCCCCCTCTTTCCTCCCCTGCAGAATGTACTGCATGAGAGTCACAAGTGACCTGTATGTGTGTGGGTGAAAACCAGACAGGTCCAGTTGTGGGCTGGCTGTGTTCTTAGAATAGGCACACTGGACAGCCTACTGCAGCACAGTCATGCACCCAGTTCACCCATTTCAGAAGATTTAATATGTAACCACATTTTATTCTGCTAGATATTGTTCAGTTTCACTAAAAAGAAATGCGAAACATACAAAATAGTACATTTTCCAGTAGTGAACAGCATGTTTTTTTATTTCTTGAATTCTCTGTTACCAAGATTACACAAACACTACCAGACCGATTTTAATGAAACATGATGCAAGACTGTCTCACTGAGCCAAGCTTCATGATTTTCATACTCAAGAATCACTAGAGATGTGATGTTTTCTATAAAGCAGGAAGGATTCACACTCTGATTCTCAGTGTACTGAAGGGTAAACACAGCAGCGGCTTCTTTTCTTCACTGTAGCGCAGCAGGGAGCCAAATTTAACCACTGCTTCAGTGCAGCATCAGTGTGTAGATGCGGCTGAAAGAGAAGAGATGTTTCAGCCAGTCAGATATTAAATCTCTCCCACTAGCTCAGACTCTGACATGCTGAACAAAACAAACCCATGAAATTAGGCCATCATTCAGTAAAAATGCAAAGTGTCATTTCTATTTCTGAACTACTGAATGGCCTTCATGATGTACGCCATTTCACCCATTCCTCCACCAACATGTTCAGTGCTGCTTCTTTATTTGTCTGTCAATACAGTGGCACAAAAGCTACTGGGGTGATTTGATTTAAACTTGGTTTAGAGCTGAAGTATGGGGAGAGGAAGAACACTAAAATTTTGGTACAGATGTGCATTGCTTTCTTTAAAATAGAACATTGGCTTTGGTGGACAATGAGGCTCTCCGAGTGCCCTTCTAGTTTGTGTTTGTGTTTTGTCTTGCTCAGCATACGTAAACAATAGCTCTTCGTAGAGTGAGAACAACAACTCAACTATAGGTACAGTTTCGACACAAATGGGCAAAGCTATGCACATTATGCAAGCTTGGAATAAATCTAGACAACTTGCACAAATTCAATTTTAACATGGCTGAGTAATTTCAATTCAGTGTTGGCAGGCCGCCTTAGTTTCCCATGCTGGAAGTTATATTGAAGGCTGCACAAAACTCATTTAGAGTTTGATTGAGGGATTGTGGTCAGTCACCAGACAAACAGCTACAACTGCCCTGTAGATTGAAAGATCAGAGTGGATCAAAAGAACAAAATGATAATCTGCGGTTACAGATGAATAATGTGATAAAGAAACTTGATCTCTCCAATGACAGAGAAAAAATGGAAAGACACTTCTGTAACTTGTAAATATAACTGTAACTCATAGAACTTTTCATCTCATCTATTGAAGAACGAGTACAGCACAGTAACAAGATACCTTCCATCAAAAACAAAGAAAAATGCTGCTTTTGTAGGTGTCTGACCAAAAAATCCTCTTCAAAAACATGCCTATACAAAACTCTGCAGTAGCTTAAGAACAGAAACAAGTTGCTGTCATAGTGGAATGTTAGTTCCTGCTGTGGCAGCACGCTGAAAAACCAGTTTTGTCCCAGAGCAAAAATTCCCAAAATCACAACAAGCACAAAGGTTAAAATGCTATTTGTCCAGCCAAGTTTATATACTTGCTTATTCTCAACGATAGTTTAATGATTATTCTTTTTTAAAAAAATGCTCTAAGTATTTAACTCCTAAATCCACAAGAAAAGTTACAATGAGCTATGTTAAAAAGGGATTTTTCAATGGCTCATTTTTGGTGCTTCTCCTAAAGTTCAGATCTCACTTTAACTGATATGCTTTCCTTTCTACTTGTAACCCCATGCAGCCCTCTTGGATTTTTCTACTTTTAATAAGAGTTCAAGAGTTTCAAATTAAAAATGAACATTAGATACCCATACGCTACATTACTGCATCTGCATGTGTCTACATTTAATTTACCCAGAGTAAAGCCCATAGATTTACCGTTATCCCAAGTGTTTCTGGTGTCAGATACCTTGCGGCGGACAGACAGGGTTGTGGGGTTACTGCCAGTTCATCGACTCCAGTGACGAGGTGCTGGACCAGGAGAAAGGCGTTACTGAGGTTAAAGCCCCGCGATAAATCTTAACCAAGTTGGGATCAGAATCCATTAGGACTAAAAGCAGTAATTAGTTTAGTATTCAAGTGCTGAGGCAGCCTTCAATAGAAGCTGTGACGGCAGGACACAGATTTACCTGCACTGTCACATCCAAAGCCACTGGCACCTCCTTCCTGTCAGGGTTAACACAGAGGAAAGCTCGGGATGTGGTGGGGGGGGGGTTCACAGGAACACAGAAACGGAAATGCATGTAACACCCCTAGGGTAATTGACTATAAAACACAGCGGTGTTGTAGGGGAGAGAAAGCTCTGCCCGGTGCCACCAAAACCTCCTGCCAAAAATTCACACGTGTGTGAATGTGTGTGTGCCGTGCCAGCGGAAGCAGTTTGTTCAGATTTCTGTGGTGGGTGGGGAGCCTTGCCCCGGTGATGGATGACATGGTCGATAAAACTCTCCGCCCCTGTATGCCTGCACACACACGTGCGTGCGCGCGTGCACACACACTCACACACACTGCTCCTGGAGGACAGTGTGTTTGTGTGCAAAAGTAAAAACAGAAAGGTCCAAAGAGAAAATGAGAAATCTAGAGAACGAATAAGACAAGGAAAAGAGAAATTTAATGATGCAGAAAACTGAGTAAGAAGAGGCGGGACCAGGAAAGATGGAGAATCTAGACAACCCTGCTTAAGCACACTTTGTAGAATAAACCATTCCTAATGTCAAGCCCTGAATCTAAAGCGCTCCACTATTTTGTGTTATCTGAAAACCTTTCATATCAAGAGTAAATAGCCCTAAAGGCTATTTTCTCTTGATATGGTCCATCACCGACAAGACAGAAAGCAAAATGTGTTGTTACTTTTATACAAGATGCTCGCCCTCACTACCACTGTGTGGTACTTACAGTGCTGACATACATTTGATACTGTGTTTTTTTTTTAAGTATCTGCCAACAAGCAAGCGTATGTAGCTGAATGTACTACATACAATTAGCATTGCACTTAACAAAGCAGACACGTGATCTAATCTCATACCAGGAGTATTGCCTGTCTGTAAGTCTGCAAAAATGTTTAGATTTCGTTATGCTGTACTTCATCCATGCTGGAAGTGTTACACAAAAAGGTCAGACTTGGCAAGTTTGCTATCACAAAAATGACTCAGGCATCAAATTAATAATGAGACCAGCATGTAAAATTGGCAATATACTTATGTAATGAGGTGCATGTGTGAAAGAGGCTTACAGCGTTACGGCATCATGCAAATATAGCACACAGTATGCATACTATTCCACATATTTGCAGTTATAGTACAGTATAATGTGTGGAGTCTGTGTCTACTTTCTAAAATTAAAAAGAAAAGCACAGTACTTGTGTCTTCAAAATGTTTTCTGTGTGGCTTTCTTTGTGCTTGCAGCCCTCTCACACCTCCCACTGGGTTTACCTCTCACTTGAAAGCTTACACTTGAGGGCAGCTGGAGAGCCACTTGCAATTGCTGGGTTTTGCTCACTTGGGATCGGGCCAGCCCTTGTTATGGTGGCATTCGCAGACACGCCAGGGTCAATGTCAAGGTCGACGGCTTACACACACGCACGCACACACTTTACAAGCAAGAAACAGGAAGTAGAAGGTATTGAAGTAGGAAGGGTTCACTTCCAGACTCCTGTGTGTTTTGCTAGTGAAGGTATTCACTTTCTTTTATGTACCTGTGCTGATAAGAGGGTAATAAAAAAACTAGTGACACAGCATACAGACCTTAAAACAGGCCAAAAGATTCATATCTGCTGTTACGATTCATAGATTTGTAAAAGTCCAAAATAAACTAGACTGTAATACTTGTTTATAGAGATTGAATGTGGGTCTGATTGGAAACACAGAAATTTATTGTATTAGGAATCAAAAAAATACTGGATGATGAATCAGATAATCAGGCAACGCCTACAATTCAGGATATAAATGTGTATTATACTGATCCAAAATTAGCATGACTTTTTTCTGATAATTTCTAGTTTAACATCTGTGTCCCTGCACTAACTACACGTAAACTAATTTTAAGAGCAAATATCCATATGAACCTTCAATCATTCATGAAACACAAGCTGTTTTTTTAAGAACAAGACAGAAAAGTTTTACCTATGTGGCTCATACAGAACCTCCCCTCAAAAGTGAATATCGAACTTCAAACAAACTTCAACTCGATACTGTACAAGGAACACACACCCAGCTGGTAAATCATTTTTAGGTTTTGTTTCATAAAAGTATTTATTCCTTTTGTGTGTGTGCATAGTGTTCCTGACCTGGTTGGACTTTCTTTTATGTACCTGTGTTGAGATGAGGGCAATGAAAAGTTAGTGACACAACATACAGATCTTAAAAAAGGGCAGCAAAATGACACAGCTGATGTGATTCATTTCTGCTGTTACGATTCACGTCTTTTTTTTAAAGATCCATAATAAACTGTAGACTAGAATATTTGTGTATGGAGATTGAATGTGGGCCTAGTTGGAAATGCAGAAAGGTTTTTAAGTAAGGTGAGCACAAAGTGATAAAAATCCGCTTCAGTCATCATATCTCCACCCTCTCTCTTTTTATTTTATTGCCCTCAGTGCAGAATAATAGAGCTTTGATTCTGATAAATTTCATGCCAGATTTTTGTAGGACTTGCTTTAATGATTTGAATTTGCATTTTTATGTTGTTGGGTTTTTTTGTAACTGTTTTACGCAGCTTTAATTTAAGAGAAACAATTGAATATCTACCCTTCATTGTTTATTGGCTGTTATTCATCACATGTAACCAACTGGGCCGTGCTGCAGGTGGGACATTGCTCAAGACTACAGCGTGACTGCAGATGAGCAGGGTTTTTCTTGGCACACAGTGGACCTTTAGGGGGCAACTACACTCAACAGTGAGCATTATCAGTCAGTGTACAGTAAAGCAATAAGTGTTACTGTGTTGCCTTAGTGGACAGAAATCCATGTGTTTTTCTGTCACTTATGACCATTTGAACAAATATGTCTATTATGTTTAAGTAAATGAAATGGCACTTAACAAAATAAGGTACAAATTGTATAATGCTATTTTTGTTGTCTTATCATTTTGAGACTGGTGATTTTCTTTTATGTCTGGCTGAACAACTTACTGGGATGCATAAAATCTCTCTATGCGGGAGAAATCCGGGACAGAGGAGCGGCTCCACCACAGTCAAAGTGCTGCATTTTGAAATGAATTGATTTTATTAGGAATCTGAAAAATATTGAATGAAGAATCAGATAATCAGTCAGGCTGACAATCAGCTGACCCCAACAATTCAAGATACAAATATATATTGTATTGATACAAAATTAGCATGATTTTTTTCATATAATTAGTGAAGCACGAGCTGTTTTTTTAAGAACAGGACAGAAAAGTTTTACCTATGTAGCTCATTTGGAACCTCAACTCAACATTGAATATCGAACTTCAAACTAACTTCAACTCGATGCTGTGCAAGAATACACACCCAGCTGGTAAATCATCTTTAGGTTTTATGTCATAAAAGTATCTATTTCTTGTGTGTGTACAGTGTTCCTGACCTGGGTGAACTGCTCCAGTGTGCGCTGGGCAACAAGGATCCAAGATGTTTTCACTGTAGGAAAACTCCTTGCTCTAGTACTCATCATAGTGGTAGGACTTGTCCAGATCAGTAGAGGTAAATAGAAGCACAAACACACCAGACACACACACACACTCTCTTACATGCACGCACATGTTGTGGTGACATTAAATCCTGATTGACAGTAATTGCTGTGGTTTGGTTTTGCTCTTTGTGGTTTGGGAGTAATGTACATAGCGAGGTAAAGTAAATAGATTTATTCATCAACAATGAAAATTTGAAAATGAAACATGAAATGTTCTGTAATTAGAAGCCAGCAATGCAAAAATGATTTTAACAACAGAACAGAGGGATGTTAACATTACCTTGTGTGCAACCTTTTCCCCCAAAAAATAGTAAGACAGAAAAAAAATACAAATAAAACTGATGTAATGTGGGAAAATGTATCAATTAGAAATATACAGGCATAGACAACAAATAAAAATACATTTCTGTGCATTCTGTTGAGTGGCAAAAGTCCTTGACACTGGTGACCATTTGTACACATGAACAGACATAATGTAAACAATTTAGTTAAGAACGTTAGTATGGAAATTTTTCAAGTATTATCAAAAACAATGTGATTCAGTATTTGTATGTTTCTTTTAAAGCTTTCTCTACCCCTGCCTTTCTCTCACCTGTCCCCAGGTCACTATGATGCCCTGCGGCCCAGTGTGGCTTTTGAATTTAGTGAGGACCCCTCAGTGGGGCAGATAGCGCTGGCCTTCCTCCAGGCTTCTTTTGCCTACAGCGGCTGGAATTTCCTCAACTATGTCACAGAAGAAGTTGTGGAGCCACGCAAGTACGACATGCATAGATACAGTTGTAAACCAAAGTTTACATACACTAACAAGGACCATGTATATCATAGCAGCCTTGAGTTTCCAGGGGCACCTACGACTCTGAATTTTCTATGATTGAGTGATTGAAACACATGGATCTTTGTCATGAAAAACAATCATGCATTGGGGTTCTTTCATGGATTTATTATAGGTCTTCTGAAAAAATTACAAAATCTACAGGGTCAAAAATATACATACAGCAATGCTAATATTTGGTTAAATGTCCCTTGGCCATTTTCACCTCACCCAAGCGCTTTAGGAGTCGTTCACAAGCTTCTGGTTGTATCTTTGACCACTCCTCTTGACAAAATTGGTGCAGTTTAATTCAACTTGTTAGCTTTCTCACACAGTCTTGTTTCTTCATCACAGTCCACAGAATCTCAATGGGGCTGAAGTCAGGACTTTGGTTAGACCAGTCTATAACCGTAATTCTAGCCTGATTTAACCATTTCTTTACCACTTTTCATGTTTGGGGTCATTGTATTTTATAACTGCATCCTTCTGGCCAGGGATTTTAGGTTTTCCTGTACAGTGTGGAGGTAATGCTCCTTTTTTTTTTTTTTTTGGTATTTCATTTACTTTGTGTAAAGCACCAGTTCCACTGGCCGCAAAACAGCATAATACTGCTACCACCATTCTTGACGGTAGGTTTGGTATTCTTAGGGTTAAAGGCCTCATCTTCTCTCCTGCAAACATATTTCTGGTCCTTGTGGCTAATAGCTATTTTTTTGTTTTATCTGACCATAGAACTTTCCTCCAGAAGGTCTTTTCTTGTTCCATGTGATCAGCAGCAGACTTCAGTTGCAGCGTCTGTAGGAACAACTTCTTCCTGCAGCCTCTCAGCCCTTGCCGATGTAAAACATGCTTGACTGTAGAATCTGACACTTGAGTTCCAGCAGCTTCAAAACCTGGTTTTGGGGATTCTTGGTTGACTCTTGACCATCCTGACCTATTCTCTCTTATCATGAAAGACCCAAAATGCATGATTGTTTATTGTGACAATAATTGTGACAACAATCATTCATTACATCATAGAAAATTAAAAGTTGTAGAAGTCATTGAAAACTCAAGACTGCCATGATATGCATTATCTTTACAAGTGCATGTAAACTTTTATTCACAACTCTAGGTATTTTTTTTTTATATATATATCTCTACAGTTTTTCATATGCGCTAATGTACAGTTCATTGTTCAGAGCTATTCCTAATCTTTTGTTTGCATGTGGAAATGTTATTTTTGTACTCACCACCATCTACTTATAACTTTATTATTTTATATTTATTATTAGGAACCTGCCCCGTGCCATATATATCTCCATCCCACTGGTGACCCTGGTCTACACAATGACCAACATCGCCTACTTCTCCTCCATGACCCCAGAGGAGCTGCTTGCCTCCAATGCTGTGGCAGTGGTGAGCAGCTCTTGATCTCCATGATGGGATGTTTCATGTGTGCACTTCTGTTCTTCTATCTATTCAATATGAAACAAGAATCATACTTGTATGGAAACATAAACTGTCTGAGGTTGTAAATCTGCTGGAACTGAAATCGTAACCATGAGAATGACCACAAGCAACTAATTAGTAATCAAGCAAGAAGTTGTGACTACGCTTCTCTGAGAGATTTGAAATAAAATCAGTGCTTGGGAGATTAAAGAATGAGGCTATCATTATTGTTTTTTTTAGATAAAAAAAACCCTGAAGAGATTTTATATACAAGTATGCATATCACTCAGTAGAACCAATAATCTGATCCATCTTTTGATGTGTTGTTTTAGACATTTGGGGAAAAGCTCCTGGGGATGTTTTCCTGGGTGATGCCGATCTCTGTAGCACTGTCCACTTTTGGAGGAATTAATGGATATTTGTTCACCTCCTCCAGGTACACACAAACACCATGCCTTGCTGTATGTTACACAACAAAGCTTCATTTCAGTTTCCTTTGATCACTGCCTATTGTGTCCTCAAAACAGATGTTTCAAGTTATTTCTAACATGTTCAGAGAAACTAAGCACACATACATGCATGTATGTGTTTGTTTGCAGATTGTGTTTCTCGGGGGCCAGAGAGGGTCACCTGCCTTACCTGCTGGCTATGATCCACCTTAAAAACTGCACACCAATTCCTGCACTGCTTGTCTGTGTAAGTACTGCACTGCCAGTTTTGTCTGTAGTTTCACAACAATGAAAGGTGACTGGGTGGACACACACGTCATTATTTACTGTAGAGCCTCTATCAATATGGTGCCATTTAAATTTTTGTGAAATTAATGTTTGAACCTGCCTTCATGTCCTACAGTGCATTGCCACAATAGTCATCCTGTGTATTGGAGAGACACACAACCTGATCAACTATGTGTCCTTTATCAACTATCTGTCCTATGGGGTAACCATCGCCGGCCTTCTGTACCTCCGCAAGAAGAGACCCAACCTGGCCAGACCCATCAAGGTTCAGACACTTGTTTATTCATCCATCTTCTGTACCTGCTTTATGTTGTAGTGGGTTCGGGGGGCTGACTTAGGATAAGAGGCAGGGAGCGCCCTGAACATTTTGCCAGGACATCACAGGACCAACACAGACCAACACCATGCACACTAACTCTGACCAATTTATTACCAATTTAGTGTCACCAGTCAACTTGCCATGCATGAAATCCTATGCAGACACAGGGAGAACATGCTTAGTCCTCATGAAATCACATCACGTCACTCCTGGCTTCTCTTCATTGGCTAACTGTTCGTGTACGTCTAGATCTGGTCCCAACAGTGGCGGGCCGTGCACTTTACTCCTAGGCATTCCGTGGTGTCCTATCTCAATCAAACCACCTCTTAACACCGTCATTATGACACCACGACTATAGACACTATCAGTATTATGCAGAAAGGCAGCATAACAGGACGTTACATTGCATGTAGCGAGAATGAATGCCACTACTAAAAGAAACCCAGTTAAAACAATTCAATAAGTCTCCGTTCACTGCAGCCACAGCTGCACCATATACATCACATCAGGGTTCTCACCATGTTATTTCTCTGAAAACACACGCTGTGTCTTGGCCCACTACACTGTCTTTCACTGTCCTCAGGGCAGATTTCTGTGGTCCTGGCAAGAACTGATGGCTGAAATATGATTGGATAAAAAAAAAGGCTTGAATATAAACATGCGCTGCTAGAAGCACCACAGCCCAGAGACACGCTATTAAATTAAGAGAATGGAGTATTGGGAATAAAGTTAAAAGATTAATGGGAAAATTTTACAACGTAAGTCAGTGATTCTGGTAGAGTTTAGGCCAGCAGAGAAGGAGATGCTGTCCCTAACGGCAACTACTGGGTCCCAAGCTACATAACAGAAATGTTGACTACAGCCTGATGAGTCAGCTCACAGCCTCAGCTCGTCAGGTAGCACCTGGCTGGTCGAAACTTAAATCTGAAGGTGCTTTGAAACAGCCTGTCTGAGGAGATAAAGCTGAAATAAGAAAAAAATGGCAAATGTTCAAACATACAGAAACAAACAGAACTATAATATAGATTTCTGCTAACTACCAGTGAGAGTTAAAATGACACCTCGTAAAATGGAAGTAAATGAAACCAATAACAATTGAAATATAATGTCAATCTTATCTTCATGTATATTTATTAAGTACTTATTTTCTGTATATTTAAAAAGAAGTCTATCCCAGCTGACTCAGGGTGAAGGCAGGTTCACCTGGACAGGTCGCCAGTCTATCACAGGGCTACACAGAGAGACAACCAAGCACACTCACATTCACACCTACGGACAATTTAGAATCACCAATTAACCTCAGCATGTTTCTGGACTGTGGGAGGAAGCCGAAGAACCCGGAGAGAACCCACGCTGCACAGGGAGAACATGCAGACTCCACGCAGAAAGATCCCAGGTCCAGATTCAAACCTGAGATGACAGTAGAGATAAACAGTAATTATATCACAAAGACATTATACTGCAGTTTGAAACTGTTGAAGCTACTTCACTAACCAGCAGGGCTTGTCTCAAAACTTTACTCAGAGGCAGTGGAGACAAAAACACAGTTGTGGCCCCTCACTACAGGGTCTAGCTCGGCTGGCACTCAATATGTAGCTACCTGTTTCTAAGGTATTAGTGGGAGCCCAAACTAGACTGCACTGCTGGTATTTTAAAAGTCCCCCAAATCAGCAATGAAGAAGCAAAACATAACTTTATTTTAAGCTTGCCACCTGACTGGAATCCATCCGATCAGTCTATGAAGCAACAAAAGTGGAGACTGAGAGCTGTCAACACAGGATTGTCAGATATTAGTAGGTGTGACCAGTTTGTCATTTACAGCCTTCATATGAACAGGAACAATGGTTTGGCGCCCCCTAGTGACACAAATTTAATTACACAGCAAGAGTTTGTCTTGATACATAGATCTCACTCACAGTTTCAAACTCAACTTCTACTGAAGGGGGTCTTTAAATATGTTTGTTTCAGATAAAGATCCGTCTTTACAGGGTATATGGATTTTTGTTGTATTCTGTGCAGGTAAACATGTTGGTCCCCATCACCTACATGGTTTTTTGGGCGGTGCTGCTGTGCTTCAGTCTGTACTCTGAACCAGTGGTTTGTGGCCTGGGAATGGTCATCATGCTAACTGGAGTGCCTGTGTACTTTGTGGGTGTTCAGTGGAAGGACAAACCCAAGTGGATCTACAGGCTTCTTGGTGAGCCGGTCTGCCCCACCATACAGCACATACTGATGTGATTTTTAATATATATATTTGTGTGATTTAGATTCCTCTAATTCTGACTCCTACTTGTGTCTTTTGTGTCACAGAAAAAGTCACATTCATGGGCCAGAAGGTGTGTTATGTGGTGTTTCCTCAGGAAGACCCCTCAGAGACTGAACCCCTCACTGCCTCCAAAGCCACTGACTGAGCAGTGAAGCTAACCAGGACTTCATTTTTACATCAACACCTGTTCTTCCAGTTTTTGTGTTCCAGTTTTTCCCAATGATTAGTCAGTAAATTGTTAAGAGAAGGCTTCATATATATTTTTGCACAGGTCCAACCTGAATCGGCAGGGATGGAGCCGCAGTGTGGAAGAAGTGTATGGTTGTACTTCGGCCTAAGCATGTTAGTCCTCCAGCTGAGGCATGCACTTCATTGGTTGGTTTGATAGGACTGTCCATTGTCTTCACCAGTATGTCAAGTTCTCTCTCTCCCACAGATCTTCATCTTTTTCCCCCCTCCTCTCACTTAAACAGCCTCCATCTGCCATCCTCTGGTTCACTTCCAGGACTTTTACTTTTGTGACTTTAACTAAATTCTTATGCTAATGTGCCTTATGAAATATATAGTGTATTGGTTTGTGCGGGTATTTCGAGTGTATAGTAATGTTTATGAGGTAAATATGCAAGCAGTTTCTGCACTTAGCAATACTTCTTTATTACTGCTGCTACCTTGAGCTCTGTTTCACTAATTACTCATATGATGTTCACTGTTGGTCAACCGTCGATGATGAATTTTTCTGTCTGTATATCTGCCTGACTACAATATCTGGCCATTAGTTTTACTTTACACCCACTGTTTTGTTTTCAAAATAATATCCCTTCTCTTTCCTGATATATACTGTAGGTGCCTTCAGGTTGCTATTAGAGAGAATATCTACAAAACTCTCATCTTTCCCAGCAATATTGACAGAGACAGGAGGTAAAGTTTGTTGCTGTCAGCTGGACCACTAGCAGACTCTCTGAGGAGTTAATAGGATGAATCAGTACAACACCGATGACAGGCTATTCTTCTATGTTTTGAAAGTTTCCGTCTTTGGTCTCCTGAGTTAAGCACTTTAAGACTGCTGAGCTTGTTGCTTTAGAAACGTTATCACTTCGGGAATGCCACTGTGAACTCTTTCAAGGTGCTTGACCAGCCAAGACAGTTATTAGATTTCAGATTTCTCACCTGTTGCTACGGTACAGTTCTTACCATTAACGTGTTGTTGGATAACATAGGCAGACAGATGGATGGCTGACAGTGGATGTTTACTTGTGCACAGGCCTGTTCTCTCCTCCAAAGACACACTGGCACTGCAGTGACCCCTAGCCCACTGACTCTTTATAGATCACATAACTTAGTATGGTGCTTTTGTCATAATGCAGTTGATTTGATTATAGATGATTAATGACCCTGTAGACTTTCTGTGGTCCTGTTGATTCAGCATATTGACTTAAACACTTCATTGAATAACTGACATTGCTGCCAGCCTCTGTGCATCAGTGGTTCCACCACTTTTACCAAGTCTGTTCCTTTACTGTGGCCCAGGAGCCATTGTTGTTGACATGTTGCATTTGGGTAATCTCTTAATCGCAGTTGTTTATAAGCTGTTTATGTTGTACATACAACAGAACAAATGAAAGTTTGGGCCATTGGCCTTTTTAAACAGGATTTAAACCAGCAGATTTAAACTTGAAGTGAACATGTGATCCTTTTCAAGGCCTGTAGATGCTGAGAATTTCTTGTGCATCAAATCCACAAAAAGAGACTCAAACTTAAGATGACACATCCAGCATGTCTGTCCTGCCATGTCCAGGCGCTGTTAGCTCTGAGATCTGTAAATACTGTGTAAAGAAAATAAACTGCGCGCCAGGGACTTCTACAAAGATCACATTCCTCAGACATGTTGTGATACATTTACATACTGTACAATTTATAGGTGTACCTTTGTGTTTTGTAAGAGTGTGAAGTTGTATAATAATAACAATGTAATTACTCATTAAAAATAGCAACTTCTAAAAAGCAGAACTGTTGATGTTAGTGAGTGTTTTGTTCTCTGTGTGGCACCATTATCAGGTCAAAAATTGTCCATTCTCTGCTCATCAACAAATAATGAAATCAGTGACAAGAGTAAACATGCCACCATCTCATTGTGAACATATGACTCAGTACAAAGGTAACTATGGTATTATTATCTATTTGTAGTAGTATTATGTTGTTAGTAGTAGTTGCAGTAGTTAATGTGTGATGCCAAAAAAGTTTACTACAGCACAATGAAGAAAATTTCAGCTGAAGCTTGGAATTTATTAATTGCAGGCACAGGAAACAAGGAGTAACAAGCAGGAGGCTGTACAAGGTTCAGATGTGCAAACCCCACAATGTCATGGCATTTCTTTTCCAGCACAAAATGTACAAATTCTCATTCTCAACAGATTCTCAAAATGACAGAAATGCTTTTCATACAAATACATGTCAACTTCAGCAAGAAGAACAACCTGTTTCAGTAGGACTTCACTTCCCAGCGACCTCCATCCTGTGTATTTACCTATGTCCTGCCCTAGTGATCAGCAGTTATTACTCAGTGACTGAACCATATTGAAAAGGGTTTTATTATGGATGTTATTAAAATTCTGGGAACAGAAAAACACTTGCTGGGTGAATGATAATAAACTTCACTAAAGGATCCAAACTGTAACATGTTACCACATCACTGTCCATGATTCATTGGCTACAGCCTGAAACATAATCACAGTAACGAATGTCACCAAGACTTTACAGTTTGTTATTTAGATAGGCTGGTAATTACACTGGGATAAGGCTACTGAAAATTACATTTCCTTTTCCCTAACTCCCTGCCACAATAATCCCAGAGACAAGAGTAGTGCACTGTAACTCCAGAGCAGTCAGCTGTATCAATCACTAGTCATATCACAAAGCTGTATCCAGACACACAGACACATCTAATCTCTTCAAACATATAAACCACAGCTGTTTTTCATGAAATTGTCCCTGATCATTACAACAGCAACAGAAAACCTTTAAGGCATTTAAAACACATATGTACATCACAAACCAATGGAGGGCATGCTCACAGCAGATATGTGAGGTTTTTTTTTTTATCCAGACAGCAGCTGAACTATTTCAGTTTAAGTCAAAAGAAACATGTTTTAATAGAAAGGAAAAAAGACAAAAAGAACCAGAACCAGGCTCATTTGCCTCAAAGAAAAGAAAGAAAATCAGAGCAGACTGTTGTGCAGGAATTTCTTGGGAGGGTATATGGAGACATTTCTAATGGCACATAACATGTAGCAGCTGTTTATGAAAGCACAAGAGGCTCACTTGAAGAAAAACAGCAGGAAACACAGTGTATTCAGCACATTAACCTGACAGTCAACCCACGTTTGGCTTCTGGTTTGTCTCACACCTTCCCTGCCCACAATGGTTATCCATCTTTTCCTTGTAGGATCTATATCCTGCAGCAAAAGAGAGACAAACTTACTGATTTTAAAGAAAAACTAAAGCGGTACATTCTTTAAAAGTCCAACAGTGATTAACAAAAGGTTACCAGTGTTGTACCTCAGGCAGACGAGCATTACAAAAAGCATCCATGACACAGGCAATCAGTTCAATGTTTGTCAAGGCAGAAAGAGAAATACAAAGTAGAACTAGTACAGGTCTCCAGTGAAGACTGAAAAATAGAGTTCTTTGCTTTAACGTCCTGTTATAGAAAATTCCACAGCATAGATATGAATTTCCACCAGAATGAACCAGCAGTCCAGCCATAGCAATGACCAGTGTGCAGTCAGCAGGACCACTGGGAAGGAACTCTGTTGCTCTTCTACACATTTCCTGGACATTCACATTAAATCTTCATGCCCTGAATAAATGCGAGCACACACAGACACAGTCAGCTTCATTCATGTGAGAGGACAGTTTGGGTTTGATATGAGAAGTACAAGGGCTGAGCAAAGTTACAGGCGCTATCCTTGGACTTACTGCTTCAGTTTTTATCCAGGTTTGGCTTTTCAAGTTAAAAATGCTGAACTGAAAAATACAATTGATTCAACTTCCAAAACCTGAAGAAGTTCTTGATCTTTGTTAAAAGGGGGTCAGCGGTCACTGTAGAACAATACGTTGGACAAAAACAAAGCTCTGACATGACTGAACGACTGCATGATAGGCGACATTGCACAAGTGTAAAAGGATGAGTTTTACAATTTGGGGAGATACATTAGATTCTATTAAATATAAGCAGCCAGTTAACTGCTGGGTCTATTCTTGTATGTATAAATTCTCATCTATAGGTGTACGTCCCTAAATATCAAACTTCAGTTTTAACCCTCTGAACCCCAAACCTGCCAGCGGGTTTGAAAGTCCTGTTTTTAAAAAAAAGCCATCTTTCCAGAATTGCGAACTAGTCATGTGTGCCATGTGGTTCCAACAAGGAAAATCTGAACTTCAAATTGTCATATTTCATCAAAAATCACTTTATTGCGGATGTCTTGGTCAAATGTTCATCAAACATAGTCTTTTCACTAGTGAGATTCTGTAAAAAGCCTTCAGTGACTCAGCTTTGACCAACAGTCACATGACAGAAATTTAAAGACTTTTAAAAAGTACAGAAACAAATTACAAATGGATGTAGAAAAATGTGTATACGTGCCCCATTTTTCAGCTTTGCTAACACTGTGGGCACTTGACAAAATGTGTTTGACATGTTGATTCTAAGTTTTTAAATAAAGTAAATAATCTTTCTACTTTTTGCTTTTCTATTTCTATGATTTTGGGCATTATAACTGTGTCCTACTGCACAGACAACCATGTTAGTTGTACTTGTAGCCATCATTGAGTTGTTTCTACAGAGGTGCAGGATTTTATGTTGCTGTGAAAGAGTAAAACTGAGGCAGGAGAAAAAACACAGCTAGAACGTGATCAGGGTTCAGAAGGTTACACTGATTTAAAGTTGTGTTCAAAGGGTGAATCTGGTGATTTTAAATGTTTTTGTTATTCTTAACAAATCTGATGAGAGAACAAAACCAACTGCTTTAACTTATTTCTCTGAGTCATAGAGCTCTAACAAACACTAAATGGCCTGTTCCTTCATCACTATGAGCAGTAGTTAGTTTTAACTTGATTACACACATACTCACTAGTTCACCAAATGTCTGCTAATCTTTAGCTTTGTCTTACACAAACGCACCACTCACTCCTGTTGCATAACTTCATGAAAACTGAAGTGTTCTGTTCTTTTAGAAAATGATTGAACCCTATTTAAAAACCACACACAGGCTGGAGTAGTGTTGAGGCATGAGCAAACACATGGCTAGTTTTGGCCTTTGCATATGACTTGTTAATAATAATAAAAACATCAAATATCACCACCCTTATCCTTGAATGAGGCAGACAATTGTGAAACACTTAAAATGTCATACAGTAATATTAACAGAAACTTCTACAGTAAAGTGGAATGGAGACAGAGCAGGGGGTCATTAATCAGTGATGACACAACAAGCTTTTATGGCTCACAGTATATAGCGGTGCATAATGGCTCTGGGTAACGACACAAAGGCTGTTTTGGCGTTATAGGTGCATGTTGCCAATATTGTTTTGGTACCGGTGGCCAGAATTAGTCAAAGTCAGACTTTCAGGAACAAGCTCATTAGGAATTTTCTGTCAAAACGGGTTAACATTAAGCTCAGAGACTGAGACAGAGATTTACAATACCGACCATAAGCCCGACCAATGCTGGTTTTATTCATCTTAGGGAAAGACTGCATATGCATCATTTTGTGCATTTGCACATTTTAGGTATTTAAAGTATTGAGTGGAATTATCTTGGACTCAGCCTGACGCTGTGCCTCCTCTATGTGGAGGGCTCAGGTCCAGGTTTTCACCTCCGAATCTGGTGGAGACAGGTTTCAAGGACACTTTATCAGAGCTCATCCTGCAGATGTCGAGTCTAAGCAGTGAGAAGAATATCTTCCTAAACCTTTTAGCATGGCGTGTCCCTCCCTGAATTTCTCCCCTCACCGCTGAGGGTTCTGCTGAACCTGTTGTTTCCCTCCCTCCTTCTCTCATCCCTGCCGTCCACAGCGAAGTGGCTGTCACTGTCCTCTGCTTTCACTGAAGAAGACAAAGGTTCATTGGGTGACACCACTTCCGATAACTGTGGGTGAGACTGGGCTGATGGTGTCTGGGAACTGCTGGGAAACACAGGGGGTGAGATAGGGGACAGGGGCCCCAAGGGTGAGTAACGTCTCAAGGAAACGCCCTTCAGGTTGACTGCAAGCTCCAGAACCATTTTTCTGGATGTCCGCCGGTGGCATGGGGGTACAGAGGCTTCCTGCGGGGTGAGAGGAAGTCTGCTGTGGGCTGAAGAGTCACTCTGACAGGGGGTGGGAGGTCCAGACTGTGTGCCCCCCCTGCTCTCCCTGCTGACAGGGGACAGTTCCTCTTCATCCAGACTGTCCACTGAGTGGAAAGAGAGAGGTGATGCAGGGCTCTCTGGTGTGCAGGGCTCCAGGTCCACCGTGGCTGAGCAGCAGGAGCCCCCCACATCAGCCTCATCCCTGAGCCCACCTCCAGGCATGGCCCTGTCCTGGGGCCCCTGCTCCCCCACAGTTCTGTAGCTGTGGAGCCCCAGTGTGATCTGTGTGGGTCCAGGGGGATCTAGCAGCGGGGCATGGCCTCTGGTTCGCCCTCCATTGTGGAAAAGTCGACTCCACAGATGCCCGAGACGTCGTCGAGAGGACGAGGAGGTGGAGCGCCGGGTCGAGTGACGCCTGATCTGTCTGCGCATCGCCAGCCGCAGGTTCTGTAACACAGAGGCCTGGATGTGGGGGACAAGACACGGAGAAAGAACCAGTTGAGTTCTAATCTAATTACAGGGTTCTCAGAGTGTATTACTGTGTATGGATGTGTCACCTGGGTGGGGTTGTAAACTGGGAAATCCTCCACTGGAGGGATGAGGCCCTGGGCAATTAACTGGCCATAAGATGGGGGAGCCTCTCTCTGAACAAACTCAGCCTCCATCCGAGTCATCTGAGTCTCAAAAGCTCTGCAAGAGAGTGAAAAAAGGTAAGATCAGGGGAACAGACAGATGGAAGGACAGGGGACAAGAGAATGCATTAAAGACATAATTAAAGAGATGAAGACAGACAGATGATGATTTAATTTGCAACTGCTAAGTCAACATTAACAAGATGACCTCAAAGCGAGTCACAGCATGTCCAGATAGCAGACATGCAGTACAGTAGCAGGATGAGCTGTGTGTCCTCACCTGTACTCTCTGCTCCTCAGGGAGTGCAGTTTGAGGGCACAGCCGAGGGCAATGACCAGCAGGAGACTGCACACCAGACTGCCGATCAGAGCGGCTGTGATCACTTTCCTGGGCACTGCTGCCAGACAGTCCCTCTCATCACTCCCGTCCAAGCAGTCCTCCTGGCCGTCACACCGCCACGTCTCAAAGATGCACAGGTTCGTCCCGCAGTGGAAGTTTCCAGGTTGGCAGTCATAGCAGTTCTTCTCGTCCGAGCCATCTGGGCACCTCTTCTGGTTGTTGCAGCGTTCGGAGGCTGGGTAACACACTCCGGTACCACCCTCGCAGGGGAACTCACCGTCTGGACACATTGGGCAAGATTCCTCATCACGACCAGACGGGCAGTGCCAGTAACCGTCGCAGCGCTGGCGCTCAGAGTAGCAGCCCTGATCACTGCCACAGGGACGCTCGCCGGGAAAACAGTAACCTTTGACCTGGGAGGGCGGAGGAGAAATACTTTACTGTCTACACCCTGACAGGACGACTGGTACTCTGCTTGACTGACTGTGTTCTCTGCACCAACACAACAGTTACAGACTGTTCAGAAAGGCTTAGACTCCTTAGGACAGATGGAACCGGTAAATTTGAAAAGGTGAGAGAAATTGAAAGAAGAACATAAAAAAACACAAGACGTGAAGGCACAATGGAGATGAATGAAAGGTTTTCTGAGAAACACTATGCAATGTTTCTGGGCTGCATCACCTGGTATGTGGCATTGAAACCATGTCCAGGACTGTGAGGCTGAGCCATGTACAAGACACTCATCTGTCCACGGCTGGACTCCAGCAGTGCCGGCCGCCTGTTGTTATGATACGACAACACTTGTAAGAGATGCTCTGCGCGCTGCATCAGGCCGTCGTAGACATGCAGAGAATCTCCGGGCCCCAGCTGCAGGTCCAGCTGCAGCACAATGGGTTTGGGGTCCTGAGTGTCCAGCAACCAGGAGCATCTCAGCTCAGCCACAGCGCTCCGGTTAGCGCGGAAAAAATCTGGAGAGGCAAAGGATCCGTAGAAGTTCCCCAGACGTTTACCGCAGGTGGTGTCAGGGCAGCCTAGTTCATCGGTTCCGTCGGGGCAGTCTCGGGCCCCGTTGCAGCGCAGGGCAGCAGGCAGACAGCGGGTGGACTGGGCCTCAGTGCATGGCAGGGAGTCGAAGGGGCAGAGGCCAGGCTGGGCCTCAGTGGGAGGAGGGGAGCAGCTGCGTTCATCCGTGGCATCCCCACATTCATCCTGACCGTTACACTTCCAGGCGCGAGGGAGACATTTCCCGTTCCCACAGAGGAATTCATCTGACTGACAGCTGCTCTGACCCAAGTGACCTGCAGAGGACAGACATTCACAAACTAGAGTTTCAAACATGAAACAAACTGACACCAGAATCACACTTAAGCAGCATCCTCTGTGAACAGAAACAGATGCATGGTGTGATCGGACAAAGAGTGTTTAGCACATGATTACAGTTGCAGTCATTTTGTTGTTGTGATGCAATTACTATTCATTTTGCAGCAGAAACAACCTTAAAAGGAGACACTACTACATTTAAGTCAGACACTAACAATCATTTAAACAGAGTGCATCACTTTAAGTCGTGATTCTGCCTGCCTGATTAATTCAGGTCCAATCTCCACTCAGCTCTGTTTACATCTCTACCAACATCTGGGGGAAATATCTGGCTCTCCAGCCACTAATGCTAAACTATTTTCAGGAGCTAGCTACTAGCTTTGTCTTTTTGCCATTTAGTGCTGGATATGTAGAAGAGGTGGTTGGTTTACCTGAGCTAGTTTTCAACACAAACTAAACCATTACCATTGCAGGCTGTCTGAAAGAACATTGTTTACTCTGATTTAAGGGTTCTTGGATAGTTTTTTTTTTTTTTTACTTTATACAGAAGACACTGAGTATGTTGACCTGTAGGCTCCCGAGTGCACAGCGACATGAAGGAGGAACAAGAGAGAGCGACAAAAAAGGAAGATTTGATTATAAAAAAAAGAAACGCAACATCAGTTGTTTGCAAACATCTCAGCTACAAAAAGACATCGACAGAAACAGGTCCTCTGTCAGCAACTGTTGCCAGCACACAAGGCAACACAACTAATGTGACCTTTTGAATCAGCACCACAAAGTTCTGTATGACGAGTGCAGACAGACCTGAATACAATCCAGAGCAAAGGATGATTTCAGAAGCCTTTGGATGTTAAACCATAGAAAAAACATGTTGTTTTTTTAGGTTTTAAACATTTAAATATTTTTTGGATTTTCGATTAAGATGCACTCTTCAAAATCACCCTAGTCACTCTAGAATGATTCATTCTTTCCAAAAAGAGTTTTTCAAGTAATCTGGTGAAAATTTCCTGTTTTTTAAAACACAGTATATATTGCAGAAAATCCAAATATCACATCCACAATTTTTTCTAATATTGTGCAGCTCGGTGCTGAGTTGTATTATACGGAAAAATTTTCCTAATATTTCAGTCTTCTTCCTTCTGTCTGTTTATGTGGTGGACATAATATTAGGAACACTTTTCAGTTAGGGCATGGACCAGACAAGCGATAGCACTGTCTTTGTTCCAGTATCATCCTGCTTACCTCTGATGTAAGACAGCCGGAAGCCTTGAGCTTGCCCGGAACTGTTGGCCTGGGAGTGGAAGTAGAGCCAGACTCGCCCCCTGGTGGAAATGAAGGGAGGAGGCAGCATGGAGCCACACAGCCTGGACTCTCCGCTCCATGTAGGCGTCAGCAGCAGCCAATCTCCCAAGCATCTTCCTGAATCCGCCACGTCAAAGTTACGGAAACTAGAGGACAGGATTGATCCTTTAAGGTGCTTGCTGTGCAGGACATCATGTACGCAGTGCATGTGTGACGGAGTCTACCTGATGGTGATGACCTCTCCCTGACCGCCCTGGATATGCCAGCTGCAGTTGATTCCAGGTGGGTAGTTTAAAGGCCAGGACGGGCTGTAGATCACACCCCTGCGCTCTGTATGGACCTCCACCTGCTCACTGCAGCCTGCTGCAGGACACAGACACACACACACACACACACACTCTCTCGTGAGGTCGGCCAATAGTCTGGTTGTAGATCAGTACCAGAAACACTGATAGATATTCTAGCACTAATACATTTCAGGATGTTGCCAAATGACTCAACAACATTTTCTCTGGGATTGTTTATTTGTGATCAGTACAAAAACACTGAAACAATGGCTGACAAGACTAACGACCGTAGTGCCTTTGGGGGGAGAGCTCCATGCTGATCACATGGAGGCTAAAACAGAAGCAACAGCAGTCAAACTGGCAGCCAAGGCAACAGCATCTCCTGCTGTCATCACACCACTGCTCCAGGGAACAACACACAGTGTGAGGTGGCCAAGAGCAGCAGCAAGAATAAACACAGAGCTCTGGTGGAGGGCAGCCACCCAGTCCTGTTGTTTTTGTAATAAGAAAAGGCATTAGGATCAAAGTCCTAGTTTGGAGATTTGAAAAGAAGCGAGAGAATTTTTATTCCTGTGGCATCAGTGGGAAGGATGTTATTTCATTCTTGCACTGAGAACAAAAATATGGAGTTACCATAATCAGTGTTTAATCATGTCATTACTGCTTAATGCCACAGTAGGAAGCAGACTATCTAAAAAGATTGTTAAATAAACCGAACCACAGAGAGCATTCATCAATGACTATTCATCGCTGACACGCAGCAGGGAGTCTACTCACTTTTGCTGAGTATGTGTTTGTGTGTTTCAGGCTTTCTTGATGCATCAGTGAAGTCAGCAGAGTGAAGCAGGGGGAGGAATCGTTTAAAGGCCAGTGATGGATATCGACTGCCGGGACATGTCCAGCTCACACATACACACTAACACTGTGGAGCAGACGCAGTAGAGCTGCAGACTAGTGCAGTGATTCTGGATTCTGATCACAGTATTTACTGTTTTTTTCATTACATCACATATTTCAGTTATCTTTATGATCATCATTAAATTAAAAATACTATGTTTTTGTGTTTTTGTTTTCTCTGCCGTCAAACTTAAAGTGCCACAATCAGGCAATGGTGGAGACAGCAAATCTTTGTGACTTTCTGAACAGTAGAATTCACTGGTTTTAGGTTGTAGGTTTTGTGTTTATGTGCAGCATCAGATGCAAAATGAGCTTTAGATTGGTTCATCTGCTGTACTTGGTCTCTGTCAGACCCGTACACGGTTTCAAATCACTACAGGCTTCTTGGCTGCTGACTTGTCAAAACGCTTCATCACAGCAACAGTTACTCAGGAAGCAGCTTCTAATCAACAGTGGAGAAAAGAAACCATATCCAAACTGCACTGCAGCTACATGCAACACTGACTCTCCGCTCTGCTCTCCTGTTCCTATGATGTTCATGCTGAAATAAGCTCAGCTGCAAAAAAATTCATCAACATAGTCTTTTACTGGTGTAACTTACAATGAAAAGAGAGAGGGACACAAAATATATTATCAGAAAATACGCACTGAAATGCACTTTGTATTTCAGATTGATGGTGATGTTGTACACATGGTGGAGAAACTACTATTACAGACTTTTGACTTACATACTTTAAGTTTCAGCTGTAAAATGTAGCTTCAGCCACTAAAGGTGTTTATTATCCAGAAAAATAGTTTCTAGACTATATTATGTGACATTACTAGATGTGTAAATAGCATTTTACACTGTGTTCCAAATAATTATGCAAATTGTATGTAAGTGTCATAAAGATTAAATTTTTTGTTTTTCAATTAAACCCATGGACAGTATTGTGTCTCAGGGCTCTTTGGATCACTGAAAACAATTTCCGACACCTGCGATAATTAGTTTGCCAGGTGAGCCCAATTAAAGGAAAAACTACTAAAGAAGAACGTTCCACATTATTAAGCAGACCACCATTTTCAAGCAATATGGGAAAGAAAAAGGATCGCTCTGCTGCCAAAAAGTGTGAAATAGTTGAATGCCTTGTACAAGGTATAAAAACCTTAGATATTTCACAAACACTTAAGCGTGATCATCGTACTATTAAGAGATTTGTGGCTGATCCAGAGCACACACAGGTTTGTGCAGATAAAGGTACAATGAGGAAGGTTTCTTCCAGACAAATACATTGGATAAAGAGAGCAGCTGCTATAATGTCATTACAAAGCAGCAAACAGGTATTTGAAGGTGCTGGTGCCTCTGGAGTTCCACGAACATCAAGGTGTAGGATCCTCCAGAGGCTTGCAGTTATGCATACACTTTCTATTGGGCCACCCCTAACCAGTGCTCACAAGCAGAAACGGCTGCAATGGGCCCAGAAATACATGAATACAAATTTTCAGTCTTGTTCACTGATGAGTGCCGTGCAACCCTGGATGGTCCAGATGGATGAAGTAGTGGATGGTTGGTGGACAGCCACCATGTCCCAACAAGGCTGCGACATCAGGAAGGAGGTGGCAGAGTCATGTTTTAGGGAGAGAGCTGGTCGGCCCCTTTAGGGTCGCTGAAGGTGTGAAAAGTATGTGGAGTTTCTGACTGTCCACTTTCTTCCATGGTACAAAAAGAAGCACCATGCCTTTCGTTACAAAGTCATCTTCATGCATGACAATGCACCATCTCATGCTGCAAGGGATACCTCTGCATCATTGGGTGCTATGGGCATAGAAGGAGAGAGACTCATGGTGTGGCCCCCATCCTCCCCTGACCTCGACCCTATTGAGAACCTTTGGAGCATCCTCAAGCAAAAGATCTATGAGGGTGGGAGGCTTTTTACATCCAAACAGCAGCTCTGGGAGGCTATTCTGACATCCTGCAAAGAAATTCAAGCAGAAACTCTCCAAAAACTCACAAGTTCAATGGATGCAAGAATTGTGAAGCTGCTATCAAATAAGGGGTTCTATGTTAAAATGTCACTTGACCTGTTAAGATGTTTTTTTTGACTGAAATAGCTTTTGATTTCAGTAAATACAACTTCCTAATACTGCAAATTCAATAAATGACAATTTTCAGTTCTTTACAACCTACAAAAGGTTTTGGGACTCTGTTGTGCGTAATAATTTGGAACAGTGCATTTTAAGTTTTTTTATTTTTGAAAAAAATCCTGCTATCATTGGGAGGTTTGTCCAATAACATTCGAATTATACTTTAACATCTGATGACTTAAAAATTATGTTGACTGTCATTTGCATCGACTATTTAGCAAAATCAAAGAAAAATACAATTTGCATAATAATTTGGAATGGGGTGTACTCTTACAGCTGGTTGAGGTGGATGTACTTCAACTACTACAGATATAGTTAAGTAGTTCAGTCCTTCACTTCAGTGGTTTCAGATGTTCTCGGTGCATCATCTTTTTTTTTTTTTTAAACTGTAAAATATCAACTATGTAAGGAGCAACTATAGCCGTAGTGCAGACGAACATGCATTTCCAAACTAAATGTAGTACAGAGGAGTGGAGTACTTAGATCTTTACCCCGATAAAAGTACAGCAGTGTTAAAATACTCCATTACAAGTCAAAGTCCTGCATGAAAACTCCTAATTCAGTAAAAGTACACAAGTATCAACAACAAAACGTAGTTAAAGTATAGCAGTAAAAGTTCTGGTTTGGTCTCTCTGACATATTATTGTATCTGATGAGTATACTACATACACATGTGTTTCCAATTTCTTCTCTAGTCTTTGAATTTTGGTGAGATTTTTTGATGATTTGAACATTTATTGAGATGAATCCAAGTGAGAAGCTTGGAGGGGAAAATCCACATTTAGTGTAGCCGTCAGTCATCTGAAAGGTGAACCCGAATACACACTGATCTTAGTAGGAAGCGGAAAATGTTGACAACCACTGGTTTATTTTTAAAAGTAACTAAATCTAATAAATGAAGGAAAGGAAAGGACAAGACTTCCTCCGAAATGTAGTGAAGTGAAGGAAGAAAGGAGCAAAAAAAGAGAAAAAATGTTTTTTTTAAGTACAGTACTTGAGTAAATGTAGGCTTACTTAGTTGCCTTCCACCACTGGTATGAAGTCATACAAAGTGAACACTGTAAATGTACCTAGATAATCCCCCACTAATGCAAGCAGAGTAAATGTGAGAGGAGTAGGTGGATTAAGGTTGTGCTGCAGGATTAAGCCCTTTAATTTTTCATTCACGTTGTTCTCAAATACAAAATGTAATCCTCTGAAGCTCTGACAGTGTCTGAAAAATGCTCAAATACAGAGACGCTGGTGTCACTGCTTCCTAAACTGTAAAATTACACAGTTGAGGTGTGTGTGTGTGTGTGTGTGTGAGGTTGCAGGTCAAACAAGCATCGACATGAGTTTGGGATGGTGTGTGTTTAATGAAGTGTGTGAAAACCCTTCTCCCTTCTCACACACTGACACACTCCTGTGAAATCTCAGCTGGAGTTCGTCTCCCGCATCCTTCTCCTTTATTTCCATGCGATGATAACAGAGGGAGGGTGGGGGAGGAGGTGGAGGGGGGAGGCAAGGATTGACTGGCTGCAGAGAAGCAGTGATGTAATGCTGATAGCAGCATCACATTTGTGAAAGAGCATCCATGTTTCCACACTAACCCTGATCATTTCCCCACCACAGATCAATACGGCGGCAGCTCTGACAGTCTCATCTTCTCTCCATCCATCCAACAATGAAAACATTCCATCTTCATCTATCATATCACTTCATCAGAGTGACACTGGAGACAGCAGCACTCACACTCACACCCGCTGCTGTGGACACCGGGATGCCCAGGTATCAGTGATGTAATGACATGACAAGGTTTGACTTAAAGCAGCTCCAGTGGTGTTGAAGAGGCAAACAGCCTCCAGTAAATGCTACATCTGCTCTATGGACTCTCCGGCAGGATCTGCACCACTTGCGTGCCACCATGTGTTCATGGGGATTAACAGCAGAGCTATATTAACAGATGTGCACAGATTTGCAGTTAAACATCACAGCAGTGGGGACGCATTGTTGTTTCTCACCTGCACAGAGGAGAGCGGAGCGGAGCAGCAGCAGCAGCAGCAGTCTCATGGTCCGGCCGCCCAGCGCCGCTGGTTTCACATCCGACTGCAGCTCCACTGTTCGCTCGACATGTGTGAGACCCAGCCAGGCTCCGTCATCTGTGTCCAGCTCAGACACACCGACAGTCCTCACTGGAAAAAAGTATTGTGTCCTTTGCAGCGGCAGCAGAGACTCCAGCGTCAAGGTAGAGACACGACAGCAGCCAGTTCACCGGGGCTCCTTCACAATAAAAGCCGCGTTTGTTCTAAGAGCAGTACTTTAAAGCAAGAGTGCCTCAGTAGAGCCACTAGTTGGAGACCTTCATCCGTCTGATGTTGCAGTGTCTCAGCGTACCCTACCTGAAACATTCAAGCACAAATAATAATTGATGTAAAGGTAAAAAGCCACCAACAATTTACCAAAAATAATAACAAATATAAAACATACACTAAACAGCCACAACATTAAACCCAGCTCCACAGAGCTGTGAAGATGAGGTTTGACCCCCCACAACGTCCCACAGATACCCAGCAGACTTTCGATGTGGTAAATTTGGAGGCCAAGTGAACTCTTGAAGACCTTGAACTCTTTATGTTCCTCAAACCACTCTTGAACAATGTTTGCAGTGTGGCAGAATACATGATCCTGCTAAGAGGCCGCTGCTAACAGGAACTACCACTGAGACGAAGGGCTGCACATGGTCTGATATGTTGCATGTCAAGGTAACATCCAGGTCAATGCAGGACCCAAGCAGCAAATTCTATATTATTCTAACTCCTGCTGTCTTGCCACAGTGCATCCTGCTGCCATTTTCTCTTTCCCAGGTAAACAGCACACACACATAGCCAACCATATGATGTAAAACAAAATATGCTTCATGCTTGTTGCACGGTCCAGTTCTTAGCTCCAGGGTGCCACTGTGTCAGCAGTAGACAGGGTGTACAGCATTCATTAAGTGACACTGCTGTGTATTGCACAGACACGTAACTTTATGGTAAAACTACTTTATTGCAAACTTAAAATAGAACACATTAGATATTAATTAGGAATACAACAAGGAAAAAGAGCATTCAAATTAAATGTTTACAAATATTTGGCAAGTGAAATAGAAGAACAGTGATCGACGGTGTATAAAAGTAGAGCACATGATGACAAAGCACAATAGAAAACGTTTTTATTTATGATAAATGTATTAATAATGTATTCCTAAGCAAAAGGCAACACAACTGCTGGCTCAAAGCAAATCATCTAAGTTATGTATAATTTGGCGTGGAGCTTCAAAACAGCAGGCTCTGTGATGGAGGACGAGTCGGGAACCACCTTGGGGCTTTGTGGGTCTTATTTTGAAGTCAAAGCCGTCTTCCTCTGTGTCCATTGCGGCTCACTCTGTGTTCCGAGTCCACATATGAAAGAAGAAAAATGATCCACACTATTGTGACTTTGAAGGCTCTGCTGTCCTCCTCATCGTGTTAGATGGTGCCGTGGATGGTGCAGATGAGCACCAGCAGCGCTGACAGGTGGCGGACACCGCGCTGCTCCGGCTCTTCCTCCTCCGTCCCTCCATTGTGGTCCGACGGCTTCTAGGACCAGCAGGCCGCGTCAATGGCGCCCCCATGTGGTCACGGGACGGAACTGCAAATGTGACGAAGTAAGAGCAGTACACTGTCCCTTTACATGACATTCCTGCACCTTCACAAATACCAACGTTCTTGTTTCTGTTGGGAAAAACAACACTTGACCGTTTCACCGTATTTAATAGATAAATTTTATTCGTGTTCACCATCAAATGACAGAAACGAAGGCGTGAGCAGACTGAGGCGCATCGAAAAAAGGCACCGCTGGGATTCGAACCCAGGATCTCCTGTTTACTAGACAGGCGCTTTAACCAACTAAGCCACGGCGCCAGTAGTTGTTAAAGAGAGAAATTCGGTGTTATGAACACTGATGTGTAGGATGTTGTCGGTGATGTCATACATATGTGATATGATTTTAACGTTGTTTGATGGGATCATTATGTCTTCGTAATGGATTTCTTATACCAAGGCTCACTGCCACTGAAATAGGCATTTCTACGTGATAAATTAAAAGTTATTTTCTCTTCATTTTATTTTGGGTTCTCTGAAAAGTTGATACCAAAAGTAAAACTGCTTTTTTCACCAATCGTCAACCCATATGAAACTTATCAGCCTGTGAGGTGACCCGGGGACCGGGGGGTCACCTGCGACCGGAGCCACACCACCACACACAGTGGACACGGTTAGAGGGCTACACATGTACTCACTAGAGTCACATCCAAATCGTGAAGTAATTAAATTGTGGTATCAAGAAATAAGTAATCATTACTTGGAAGAATGGTTCCAGATTCTTTTTAATCAGTTGAGGGGTTTTATCAAAAAGCTTAATACATACAAGTCCGCTGCGGTGTCCAGCCAAGCCCAATAAACCAAACTACCTGCATGACCAGTAGTAAGCTCTACAGATATGAAAGTTTAAAGTAAACCCAATTATTCACAGTTGGGATAAAGTAATTTCAGCTGTTACAGTGTAGTGATTGTCTGCCTCTCTAACAGCTGAGTTGAGTTCATCAGAAGCTATCTCAGAGTAAAGTTAATCTACAGGTATTTCCATTTACTCACATTGCATTGAGGATAGACTGTGATCTCATTCACTTTCATGAGGGGCCTGACTGATGATGGAAACTTTTTAGAAAGGAGATTTGGTCAGGTGGCATAACCTGTCAACAGAGAGTAGCTGGCAATCAGTGCAGACAGAATCCTTGGATTAGTTTCAGTCACTGACACCATTTATAGAGCAAACAGTTGATTTGTTTTCCAGTGAGATGTTTTGAAGCTTTGCGTGCTTCAAATGAATTTCTATCCGTTCCTTTTGTTTTGGTGATGCCATAGTGTCAAAACATGAGAAGATATGCTGTACCATTAAAGGTACTGTTTTTTGTAAATAATACTGAGAATGAAGAAACCACAACAGCACACAGTACCTGATATTTCAACAATTTATTCAACAACTTCATAGACATTTCTTAAGAAGTGTGCTGCTTTACTTGATGTTTGATAAGTGCGGGAACCAAAGCTTTTTACATGCACATGGCCTCAGCACAGATACAGACGATAGGTTTTTCTCATTTCACTTATCATTTTTCTTTTTTTAAAAATCACACAGCTTGGAATACAGCAGCTGATGAAGCTTACCAACAACCACTTCAATGATATACACAATAACCAATGTTCTCTTTGAATTAAAATGTAAAGAAAGAAAAAAAAGTAAAAACCTACAAAGAAAATAAAGCTGTAAAAATCAGAAACAGATCCTACAAATGGCGCTGAGTAGATGAGTCCATGGATCTGCACGTCACGTTGCTCAGCTGCTTTATATCCATATGCACATTGGTTAGTTTTTAAATTAATGTAAATACTATGAAAACAAAATGCAAGTCACACACTCAGCAAACAAGAAACATTCCTTTCGTTGACTGATCTGGAGTTCCCATTAGCGGAGGGGATTGGACTTATACAGGGGCAACAGTGGAAGAGAAGGGTGGGGGGTTTACTTTGAACACCAGATCATAGTTCTACATGGCGTGGCATTCACTGGGGCAACCGCTTGTTGGGATACATCTTAAATATTTTATATGACTTCTACCTGAAGTTGCTGTTTAAAGTGTCTAAATCTGTTCCAGGTGCAGTGTAATAAATCTTTGGCTGCCCCAGTGTGAGTTCCACAGACAAAGATCAAAACGATTCAAGCACTTGAGTTAATAACATTAATCAACAATTCCAGGTGCATGACTCAATATAATATATTACCGGATCCATGTCTGAGGAGCTACCAAGCCTCTTCAGCCTCACAGAAGACTGTGTACTCGGCGACTCATACATTTACTCCCCAGGTAGAATGGGGGTGGTGTGTGTGTGTGTGTGTGCGTGTGTGTGTGCGTGTGTGTGTGTGCGCGCGAGTTAGAGTGAGAGTATGAGATTACTGGTGGGCACACTGTACCCCCGGACCATGGTGGCCACCCTCTTCGTCGGAGCTGTCGTTGTACGCCTCTCTGCGGCTACCCGATGTTGAGCTCTGGCTGACATCATAATCCTGCAGGTCAACCTCCTCGGTGTCTCCAGTGATGATGGGCAACTCTGGCCGTGAGGGCAGCATGTCTTCCAGTTCCTACACATGAACATATGTCATAATGCAGCCTTAAACAGACAACTGTGTCAAAATAGTTGCAGGGTGATGGCTGCAGTGCTACTGAAGGGATTTAGCCATCACCGAGGAACAACTTTACTTAAAAACAAGAAGAAATGTTCCTGAGTGAATCCCATTCATGGCCAGAAGAGTGCTTAACCACTTGGTGGAAATGAATTATTATACAAATGACTTCTAGTGGGGGCCTGAAGCTTCTTATTACAAACACTGAAAAGAGTGTGAGCTTACTTGCTCTACCTGACCTACACTGTCACACAATTACAAATAAAATTGTACCAATGAACCGTTACATAGACTCAAACTGTTTCATTAACTAATAATTACACATATTCATCACAGCACTGTGTGCACGTGTGTGCTATTATTTATTATTGATAAATACAAAAATCATAAAAGCAGAATTGCCCTGATAACACTGATGTATATCAAGGTCAGATCATTCCTTTATCAATCATCATTTTGATGCATGTTCATTTGTTCGTATTTTTCCGTGTTCTGTTAAGAATTATTGCCTGTGTAACTTGATAGGCAAGTGGTTGAATTCAAAGTAAAAAGGTTAAAGAAAAAGTTAAACCTCTTTTTTGTAAGAATTAAAAAGGGGTCAATAAAAATGATCAACATTCATCAACAGGCTGAAATGGAATACTTTATTGTGATAAATGTTTCCGCTATTGTTACTGGTATAATCAACCATCAGACTGATCAATTAGTCTAAACAAAAACGTCATGCCTTATATCAAGAAGCCCAAAACCTAAAAATATTCTAGGTAAGACAAAGTTAAAATATGATCATGTAAGAAGCTGAAACCACAGAATTTTTGCCTGTACAGTACTGACACGTAGCTTGTTTTCTACTAAAGGTGTTTCAACAAGGGAGCAAACATTTACCTGAAAAAACAAGTTTCTACCACTTTTAGCATAATACTGGGTAGACAGCGACTTCACTAGTGAGCTGTAGCCTTCTGAAAATCATAAAAGGTTTAACCTAAAGCAGCTGCTGTTTAAGACGAGGAGCGATGTAGCCCTTTTTCTCCAGTAGCTGCTAAAATAAAACCATCTGCTTCCCAGCTTCAAACTACAGCCTGTGTGTTGACACTGTATCAATGCACTGCTGTTGTTGCAGGGACGCCCCTCAGAAGCTTGACAGTTAAAGGAAACACCTGACTTACAACCTTCAAACATTATACATTTGAAATTACTTGTACAATGCATGAACTTTTACTGCAGAATGAAATGTTGTTTCAGTTGTAGAATAAAACTCGTACATTCTTGAGGATATCTGAAACACTAAAGCCAGTAGTTGGGTGTTTGCAATCATGATCAGCACAATTCATATCCTTGCTTGTATAAATCTGTGATGACAGCCAAGGGAGGAGCTTCAAGTCCTAAATATGTGTTAATGCTTAAAAGCTACTAAGTCTCTCTGGAATTCATAAATAGAAAATCCCCATCTGACTTCATATGGAATGACAAGGAGACATGACTGTCAGCACCATAGTTACACTGTGTCAGTACAGTGTTGGTTCTGGTCAGTAGCTTCTCTGAATGTGTCTATGCTCACTATAAAAAGCAAAAAAAAAAACACCAGGAAATGAAAGACTGCCAATTAAAGAAGTCATACCGCAAGTTTCTCAGGGCTGATCCAGTTGTTGTCAGGGAACTGGACATCAAACTTGACATATAGATCTCCCTTCTCAAATGGGTTTCGGTACTGTGGCATGCCCTCTCCTCGCACCACCCTGACTGAGCCTGGTAAAAATGAACTTTGGTTAAAAATGAGGTTTATTCACAATTCACATGTAT